AGTACATAGCATACATCAATATACCTGGAAGGAAAGAACAAAAATAAAATTTTCCGACAACACCACGAAAGGTCTGGAACCTGCAGTTCCATACATCTCCTGCAGGACTTTTCGGACTACAATCTGCCATCTCTCCTCCCCTGCTGTAGGCTCTTTGATTGCAGCATCCCCTTCCACCAGACGCAGAATCTCAAACTTGGACCACAGTCCTTTAGTTGCTAGCGAGCACTTAGCAACTTCCTTCCAAGGCGGTTTTAGCTGTCTTTCCAACCACTGCAACACAGGCTGAATGTCAGGATACTGGTCCTGTTGCTGCCTCCAGGTGTCGGTGTGAGAAGCCGAACCCACTCCAAAACCGTACTGGATGGCTCAGTTGCAGCTGCTCCTCTTCAAACTCCAAACTTATCCCTCTGATCACAGCAATGGAAACTGCATCTCCCCGTAGTAGTTGTCCATCTCCTCAATTGACAACTACTAAATTGTAGTTGGAGAGTAGAGTGGTCAATCCTTCAAGTGAAAGGCAGGCCACACAGGTAATACTTGACTTAAAGACTTACACTTATGCAACTTGTATTGCCATTTTGTATAGAGTGTATACAAAAGGAAATTTTGTTTTGTACAGCTTTCATGACATTTCCATTTCTTAAAGTGCAGCAGTAATCAATTGTAAACAGTGTGAGGGAAAAAACATGGCGCAAAAAAACACATTGATATGGAGGTTCAGAGCATTAAATATATAAGGTGCAATTTTGCGTTGTTTTAGTTTGGTGTATCAGTGTGATGCAGAGTCTGAGACATGATTTTACAGTTTTCTCAACAGTTCAGCTGTCTGATGGCGGTGGGGTAGAAGCTGTTTTAGACCTGCATGGAATACTGTGAAGCCTCTTTCCAGAGGGCAGCAGGGAGAGCAGTCCATGGTGGGGGTGTGAGGGGTCATTGATAATGATCTGGTGCAGGGAAAAGTATCACCGCCAGAAACTCTCGCCTGGTCACACAGTAATGCCTTTCTGCCTTGTTAAAAGCCCTGCTGAAGTATCCCACCACTCTATCCCATCTGGACCCACCTGTGAAAGGAAAATCCACAACCCTACCCCACTTGCATCCATCTCAAGAATGAAGGTGAGAGTGCGATCAGCCAGACCAAGTACTGGAGCACCATTCAGAGCCCGCCACACACAGTCAAATGCCGCCTGGTACTGTTCAGTCCACATATAGTCTAGGTTCTTCTAGAGGAGTTGATAGGGGGACTGCTATAGACGCAAACCCCCACATGAACCTTCGATAATAAGAGACTATCCCCAGGAAACTCTTTAGATCGCTCTGTGTAGAGGGAGGGAGGGCCACTCTGCCACCATCTTCACTTTCTCCTTCATGCTGCTGATGCCGTCCTTCTCAACCTGTTGAACCAGAAACGTCACCTCTCATGAAATGATATTTATCTGGGGTGAGCTTCAGGCCTGTGAATCTAATTCTCTCAAGGATCCGATAAAGAGAGCCCAAGGGTGGTGCAAAAGAGGTGCCATGGACCAGCATGTCATCCAGATATACCAGACACCCTTGGTGGGGGAAGCCAGCCAACACCTGGTCCATCAGCCTGGAAAAGGTAGCAGGTGTATTGCACCAAATGAGAGGACTTTTAACTGTCAGAGTCCCTGGCTCGTGCAAAAAAGAGTCTTTGGTCTGGCACTTTTTGTGAGGGGTCACTGCTGAGGTCCAGGGATGAAAACCAGCTGCAACCAGGTCCAACGACTCATCCACCCCAGGCAAAGTTGAGATACTGAAGGACATTTGTCAATATTATTGCTAATGAAGGGGAGATTTCAGATAGGCCTGTAGTTCTGCAGTAGTTTATCTAAGTTGTTCTTTTTCAACAACAATCTGATAACTACTGTTTCCAGGCCCTAGGTAAAAAATGGGATGCATTTATTACTTGAGATAAATCAGACCATATTTCAGATAAAACATCATTTAAGAAAGTTGTGGCTAAAGCATAACGAAAGTCAGAATAAGAACTTGGTGGAAGATTTCTTTTGTAGGTTTTTTGGTCAAATTGAGACATTTTGTCTGAATCAGTTCACAGGGGAGTTGTCTCATGCTAAAGAACAAACAAGCCAAAGTGAAACTGTTTGAATGCTGCTGATTAACAATTGTATATCTTACCACAGAACAATAACATAATCCAGTATGGAGGAGTTTCACTTTTCATTTCTTTGTTTGGTTTTTTTAAGTTAAGATTATGTTAAAACTTTCCACCACGCAATGCTGGTGGTTTGTCCACCCTCTCTCCATATTCACATGGTGGATTGAACCGAGCTCTGGGAGATGACATGTTGTGAATTGGCACTATATAGATAATCTGAAATTAACTAAATGTCCTAGTGGGCTTTAAAGATCGGACCCACATGCAGAGAATCACTCAGAGACCAAGGGTAGAAGTTTAACAGGTTTATTGTAGGTTAGCAAACACTGATGGAGATTGAAAACTCAGTGGGGAAACAATGCTGGAACTCAGCTGACTGCTGAACCGGAACCAGAAACTTTGAAGGGGAGATCACAGTGATCAGTTTAGGGACATTGGGAGAATAGACTGAGGCTTGAATATTGCTGGAGAGGCACTCACTTTTGGGGGGGGCTCTTGGTTTATCCTTGGATCCAGTTTGTGGGTGTCACGTTTTGGTTGTGGTTTTGAAGACCCAAATGCAGAGGCAGAGAGGCTGAGGTGATTTCTTGCAGTTTTAATGCAAACACAAATAATAGAGGCAAAATCCAAAGATCCAACTGAAAATGTAACAGACCAAAACCATGAAGACATCAGGAAAAAACACGCACAAGGAGCCAGGGAGAGACGAAGTGAGAAGACAACAGCGACGACAGGACCAGCAACAACAAGGAGTGACAGCAGAGGGAGAGAATATATAGCTGACTGAGACAAAGGCACGGCTAACAAGCAGATGAGGAACAGGTGTGAGAGGAGACAACCAGGGAGCCAAGGGGAAAGGAACACACACACCGAAGAGGGCAACAGAGGACAACAGAAAAACCTGAGAACTAACATAAATCTAGAAACTACAACAAAACAGGAATTATATCAATAAAACTAGGAAACATGTAGCAAAGTAAAGCACAACAGAACCAAAACCATGACAGTGGGGGTTTAATCCAGAGAAGAGGAAACCCGTTGGAGAGCGGACAGGCAGACATACTGTCAGGTTTATTCAATGATGATTATAAAATTAATGTGTGCTTATTAAACATTTGTGCAAGGGGATGCTGCACTGTGTCTTGTGATGCAGTCAGGAGACCATCCTGCCTTGTCATTCTGATGGAGCCTCTTGTCTTTATAAACTGATCAATTGTTCTGTCAGAACAAATACTGTTTTGTAACCATGTGTTATGTTCTGTTAATAAAAGATGGCTGCAGGAGGGGATTTGGAGAAGGAAAGCTTGAAGTTGGGTTGGGTTTTTTCTTTCAACTCCTGCAGAAGTTACTTGAATCTTTTTCCTGTGTAGACTCAATTTCAATTTTTTTACAAACCTACATTTTCTGAATCTAACACATACATTGGACCCAGAGGAGTAAAGGAGCGGACTGTCACTTGGTTTTCCAGGACGATTCATGTGGAGGTTTTCCCCTTGCTCAGTGAGACTCAGTAAATTATTCCAGGGGTAGAAGGTCCGGGCTTATCCAGTAACACAGGAAGTCTTCCTGCCGAAGAACAAAGACAAAAAACAAGTTCAGACTCAGAGAAACAATGCTAAGGTTAGACTCTGCTAATCTCAGTTTGGCTAGAGTACCCAATACTGGCAAACACTCTGGCGTCGCGGTGGTGACAGCCCGCTGCTCAAGTACTCCTCTGGTAATGACCCAATGAGCCGCAGGGGTGCAGGGAGGCCCAACGAGGACAGGGCACCACCTGGTGGTGGAGAGAGGAAAACACAAAAAACAACCCACACAAACTGGAATCCTAACACTAAATTGAGATGCTCAAACATTGGAATAATGTTCTTGAAGCTAATCCCACTTTAAACCAAACCAAAACATCCTCTCTGATCTATCTGCTGAGTTCCTTGGTCTTCATGATGCTAGTTGTCTTCAGATTTTTTCTCCTTCAGAACCGATCCCCTTGGGGAGCAGAGTGTTGCCATTGTGCGGTGCGCAGGAGCAGTGTGGGGTGAAGGGTCTTGCTCAGGGACCCACACTGGCAGTCTGTGGGAGTGGGGCTTGAACACAGAACCTCAGGAATCCAAGCTCTGTGCCCTAACTAGGCCACCACTCCCTGATGCTTTCCGAGGCCATAAACAGAACAACTGGTTTTATTGAGATTTAAAACAAAAAAATAAAACCCAGAACATTTGAAGGCTTAGTTTTAGAGGTCACTTAACTTACCTGACTGCAGGTAGTTCGGTTGTTGAAATATTTGATGCTGATGATAAAACAGAACAGAAAGCAGAATCCCACATTCATTTTAAACACTGTCATTGTACTGGGAAAGGACGAAACATTCTTTGAAAGGAAACAGGTGTGTTGCTGTGCTAAATTCCATCTCAGTGATGTGACCAGGTGAAAAGTTACTGTATCGAATCCAGTTTACTTTGCATTTTAAAAAAGAAACTTAGAAATAAATGAAAGTTAGAGCAATAGATTTTCAGCTAAACATTTTTCTTTCATAAAGTTACTTAATACAGTTTTTATAACCTCCTTTTTTGCTCCTTATTTCTGTATTACTGATTATTTATTTATTTATTTATGCAGTCATTCACTCAAGATGTTTCTTCTAAAAATGTTTATTAGTTGATTAATCACTTTAAAACTACTGCTTAGATGATTAAGTTGCAGCCTGATATATCAGCATCTAAATTAAAATATGTTCAAAGTTCCGACTGTGTTTTCCAACCAGTTCTGCTGCTCCCTCATTGTTCTGTGTGCATTCCTCGATCCTGAGTGACACCCATTTCCACTGGACAGGTGTATTTAAGATGCTGCAGGGTGTGAGCATCTTTACTGGAGACAGAGTTGAGCTTTGAGCATCATGATGGCCTCCAGAATGTTGCTCTTTCTTAAGCTGCTCCTGCTGACCTCCCTGGTCTCGGCGTCTCATCACTGGGGAGGAACCATGAACTTCGCCTACAAAGGAAGGAATCCTGATGGATCATATAAGGTGAAAAATACTTTTTATTTATAAATATTTCTGGCTATTAATAATCTATGTTACTTTTTTTTCTGATAACAGCAGACAGCATCGTGGAATAATATTGTTTCATTACTTTTATAAATCGTAACCATTTTTTTCAGTGTTCCAGGAATATGTGTAGATTGCTGAATTACAAAAATTAGGTTTCAAACAGTTATCAAAAATCATGTCTAAAAATTTAATTTAAGGCATGATTTCAAATTGATAAAACAAACATACATACTTAGAATGTTTATATTGAATGCTTTTTATTCATTTTTGATTAAAAGAAAATCACTTTGACATAAATAAAACCTGAAAACTCTAACCCACATATTATTTTGGAATATTTACACCACAGATGTCCCTCCGAACCAGAGATACTTATGATTCTTGTTCTAACTTCCATTACTGGTACTGTTATGGTGGGAACTGTGGCTCAGCCATCACTCGAACCACAAATCAAATTGACACAAGCACCAACACACCATCCTATGAAAGCCGATGGTGCGAAACCGAAACTGTTGAGACATGGAGACTCCCTACTGACAAACCAGTAAACATCAGGTAAGCTTTTTTCCAGTCCAAATAACATGTTCACATTTAAATGAGTTGAATTAAGTTTGTATAGCATCCTTCAGGTAGTTGACATAAATATCTATGTTTTCTTCCTGTCCTAAAATACCAGAACAGCCAGCTGCTGTTGGATCTCAACCCGTAACTCAGTTAGTAACTGGAGGTTTGATTCTCTTGTGGATTTGGGAACAAGATCTGACACGAGAGAACCAAATAAATCACCTGATATTGCCATTGTTCCCTTCCTGAGGTAACCAATGTTTTTAGTTTTTATAATATCATAGGCATTTTCCACAATGTAATGTAAAAAGGAAACACATTTGAGGATTTTATATCATTTTGAATGTGTAATCCATCAAGTCAGCCTTAAGAGAATATAAATTATTTTTGATAGCTTGATGATTTGCCTGAAGTCTCCTTACAAAATATATTTTATTTACAACTTGTGTTTATTTGTAATCAAGAGTCCCTCAGAACTGCCCCAGAACATACAAGCTGGCAGCCTTTGACCCTGATGGTGACAGGGTCCGCTGCAGGTATGGGAATTTACACAATTACGAGTGTGACAATTGCCATCTCCCTTCAGGCTTCCAGCTCGATCAGGTCAGTTAATAAAAATGTATAATATACTAATATTAAATAGAATCCATGATAGGAGGCATTGTCTAATAAGTCAATCTTTGCTTCAAAAGGATTCTTGCACATTACGGTACCAGTACACCTCTTCAGACTCTAGAATATTCGGTATGGAGATGGTGGTGGAAGATTTCCCACGTAGGACAGTTGATTTGTCCTATTCAGATGGATCGCGTGTTCGCAAGCATCCACTGCCTTCAAGGAGAAAGAGATCAGCTACAACCACTGCTCCAATAACCACTCCATGGTGGTGGTGGACAACAACACCTGCACCCGCTACTCCAAACATCAACTCATGGTCGTCTTGGGGAACACCGGCAGCCACAACTACTACAACAGCACCTACAACTACTGCTGCTCAAACAACCACCCATCCATGGTGGTGGTGGACAACAACACCTGCACCCGCTACTCCAAACATCAACTCATGGTCGTCTTGGATAACACCTGCAACCCCTACTACAATCATCAGCTCATGGTGGCCGTGGGGAACACCGGCAGCCACAACTACTACAACAGCACCTACAACTACTGCTGCTCAAACAACCACCCATCCATGGTGGTGGTGGACAACAACAACACCAACGACTACAGCTGCTCCAACAACAACCCATCCATGGTGGTGGTGGACAACAGCAATACCCACAACTACAGCTGCTCCAACAACCACCCCGTGGTGGTGGTGGTCAACAACAACTACACCCCGTGCTACAACCAACTGGTGGTGGACAACAACTGCACCTACCACGACACCCCACATAGCAAGTGTGAGCAGTACCCCCCTTAGCAAGCTGCCTCTACAGTTCTCTTTTCTAGGTAAGAATATATTAATCGATTCTAGTAAATAATTTATTAATTATTTGTGTGATATATAGTATATATTGTGGGGACCATTTCCTAAATCAAAGCACATCATGTTGACCAACTACTCCTCAAGGGTCACAGTTAGGATGTAGAAATAGGTTAAAAAAATGGAGGTCAATAAAAACTCCCCAGAAGGATTAGTCAAACGTGACGGTATGTGTGTGCGTGGCTGTGTTTTTCCTACCATGTGAGGAGAACATGCCAGAGATATGCAACATTTTTCTGGGGACCAGACAGGTCCGTACACAGAGAGGTTCTATTCTTGGGATGGTAGTTAGGTTAAGGACCAAGGTGTGAAATACATTGAGGTGCACAAGGGGAATATGTAAACTCCATTGCAGGAGGATCCCAAGTTGGGAATCGAATCCAGAACCTTGTTGCTGCAAGTGCTACCCACTACTCTACTGTGTAGCTAAATATTAAATACGAAATGTCCAATTTCCATTCCATATATAAGTGTTCTTTTTTTTTTTTTTTTTTACCTTTTTAAGAGGGGTCATGAAAAAAAGGACCCATTGTGACATTGTTTTTTAACTCTCTGAATCAATGTAGGCTATTAGTTTAGTCTTTTCAGCTAGTGACAGGAAGTGGGGATAATGACAAATGTTGCCAGAGTAGTTAATTGATGGAAAGAAGTCTTTTTTATTCAGTAGAAAATTATTTTCCACACATGCATAAATCCCAACGCAAGTTATGACAACACAGTTATATTTATGTTCTCCAGTGGACCCACCTGTTGCTACCTGTCAGGCGGGACTCTACCTGCCTCTACTAGTGGCTCCAACACCTGCAGATGGACAACGTGTTACGGCAGAGGTCAACAAAGAGATAGAGATCAGAGTCAAAGCCCAGGCTGCATATTCAATGTAAGTTAGAAAAGCATACTAATACCTGCCAGCTCAATAAAAACAGCATTGACCACATAATCACTTCTGCTTTGTTGTTCCTCTAGAGTCCAGAACATCATCTTCAGCGGCCCATCAAATGTTACCAAGCACAGGGTCGTTAACAATGAGTTTGTGATCAGGTGGACACCAGTGGAAGATGACCTGGGAGAACATTATCCAATCTGCTTTGCCGTAGAAGCAGCAGGCGGGTGAGACCAGGATTTATCTAAAAGAAATCAGTATGGGTATTATTAATTTATAGTTGTTTTCCAAGTTTTTTTGTACCTGAGCTACAGCATAAACAACTTTGCAGTTCTCTCTGAAGCAGTATAAGGCTGCCAAAATTACATTTTACTGTTCAATCTCCATTTTTAGAGTATGTGGATGTGTTGGATACGTTTATCACTCTATAGTTATTACATAGTCTTGATTTAGAAGAAGATGGATTGTATTTATATCAACTTAAACATTTTCTTGCAATACTTTTTCAGGGGCCGATTTTATCACTCTGAGATGCGGTGTGTTCTGGTGGAAATCCGCAAGCATCAAAGTAGGTCTAAGTTATGAGGCAAGGAAAGAACAACAACTGGAATTACTACTTTTATACTGATATATGAGGGTATATTTACTTAGAAATGCATTAATACATTACCTACATTCAAACCAAGCAAACAGACATTCTTCTCATCCATAATTTTTTAGGGATCTGTGAAAGATTTTCTTTAGATACACTCAGATTTTGCACCTAACTAATAATTCTTGTTCCAGTTGAAGCCACAGTGACCTGCACTGACACCACAATGAAGGTTGAGGTTGAAAAAGCCTCTTTCTATGGATTTCAAGAGGATCATCTTCGTCTCAGTGACCCCGGACCCACCATGTGCAATCTTAATAGGTTGTCCAACAGCAGCCACATAGTCGCCATCGTTCCTCTCAATGGCTGCGGTACTCAGATCGAGGTGAGAATAGGTTGTTTCATACATCACAAAAAGTTCATCTCTGGGATTTATTTTTTAAACAACAACTATTCACTCTGCAGGAAGATGATGATTACCTCATTTTCAAGAATGAGATCACAACAGTGGATGACGCTCCCACTGCAGTGATCACCAGGAAGCATCTGTTGGAGGCACGGTTTGAGTGCCAGTACCCCAAACGGGGCAATGTGACCCTGAGCTTCTCAGCACACAGAGACAGCATCACATTGTATGAGAAAGGTATGGGCACGTTCACCTACCAGTTTGAGTTCTACCAGAATGACCAGTTCGGAGCCATGTTCAGCCCAAATTCATACCCGCTGGAGTTTGACGTCGGAGAAAGGATCTACATGCAGCTTAATGCCAGCTCCACTGTCAACAACACTGAGATGTTTGTAGAATCCTGCAGAGCTGCACCGTATGACAACCCCAACTATCACACATCATACTCCATCATTGACAACGGGTAAGGCGTGGCTTCAAAAGGTCCTCAGATTATCACCAAGTTTAAGTCCATAAAATACAACTACTGTCCTGTGATAAATGGTATTTGAATTGTATTAAATTTGATTCTGACAGGTGCAATGTTGATCCGACTGTGCAGACATACTCCGCACCCGATGACAAAGTGTTCAGGTTCAGCATGGAGGCCTTTAAGTTTATCGGATTATACGATCAGGTAAGGAACGAACAGTGCTAAGAACCATTCTACATTTTTTCCCTAATGAAGTTTGCATTTATATTTAGGCATAGAATTTTGACTTAAGTCCTTAATATTAAATTAATTATATTAAACTAGTATAGGTTTACGGCCTTTTTATGTTAGTCAATGTTTTTTTTTCCAACAGCAAGAATTTTTGTTTATAATGGCTTTGTCTTCTTGAATTCAGGTGTACATCAGCTGCACAGTCATGATGTGTGAGGCAGGAAACCCCAACACCAGGTGCTCTCAGGGATGCATGAACTCCACAGGGTTCAACCATTTTGGCCGCGCTAAGAGAGAGGCTGCAGTCCAGAGCGGAAAGCACTTAGTTTCTCAGGGTCCTCTGCGTCTGAAGCGTGAAGCAGACCCCAGAGGAGGCTCCGGTAAGGAAAGCATGTAGGGAAGTTTATGAGCAGCAGGTTTAATGTGAGCAGGACTCCGTCACTAACTGTTACTCTTGTCTGCAGCACTAAATCTCAACCTGAACCTGGTGTTTGTTGCTGGATGCCTTCTTGTTGCTGTCGGGATGGTCTGTGGCGTCCTCATCTACAAAACCAAAACCTCCAGGGCCAAATACCAACCTCTGCCCTCATATGAAAACTAAACCACATGCGTCTGCGGGTTATTTTAAAGTGGGAAGTTTTTTAACTAATAAAGTCTTTTAACATCCTTTAAAGAAGCAAACAGCTGCACTCATTTAACATCCAGTTGTGTTGATGCTAAAGATGAAAAACCAGCTGAAAATACAACTAGAAGATCTTAACTTTGCACTGCAGTTGCTGAGTTTATTGTTCTGCCTTGACGATTTGTTTTCTCCTGTTTTATTTTCCTTTTATCCTATAAAGATGGATAAAATGCTTGTTTCTATTGTGTTATAATCAACCACTTCTGAACTAATGTATCTTAATCTGTTATATAAATTTTTGATATAGGGGCCAATTTTTGGAAGAAGGTTTATTTTTCCTTTTTCAATTTCTTTTTGTGTTTAAAGCTGCACTTAAATGGTTTATTAAAAATACTAAGTGA